AGTAGTTTTTGGTGTCATAGATTTGCCAGTAAGGTTCGAAGGTAAACGCGAGACCATAGCATTCTTTGTAATTCCGAGTATGTCCCAACAAGTTATTCTGGGGGTAGATTTCTGGATGAAATTCCAAATAGCGCCTCACATTATATCCGAAATTGCCCTTGATGTAGAACGTGAAGATAATGCCCTTGTCTTAAGTGATGATCAACAACGACAACTTACAACCGTTAAAAATAGATTCCCAAGTTACGAAAGGGAAGGTTTAGGGAAAACATCCCTCATGGAGTATATGATCGAACTCCAGCCGAATGTCCGTCCGATAAAGCAAAGATATTTTCCCATATCCCCCGCAGTAGAAAAATTAGTTCACGCAGAAATCGATGAAATGTTAAAGTTAGGTGTAATCGAAGAGTCTCCTAATAGTCCAAGGTCCAGTCCGGTCGTGCTAGTGAAAAAGCCAAATAAAGTCCGTCTGTGTCTTGATTCTAGGAAAATAAATAGCGTTACCGTTAAGGACGCATATCCCCTACCACATATTGATGGTATATTAGTAGAATACCAAAGGCTAAATACATAAGCTCACTAGATCTGCGTCGAGCCTTTTGGCTAATTCCTCTGTCCGAAAACTCTAGAGATTACACATGTTTTACAGTCCCCAATCGTCCGTTGTACCGCTATTGCGTAATGCCATTCGGCTTATGCAACGCCCCTCAAGCACTTTGCCGCTTGATGGATCGCGTCATTCCACCCCAGTTAAAGAACCAGGTCTTCGTTTACTTAGACGACCTCCTTATACTGTCAGAAGATTTTGACAGTCATATGTCCGTCCTTTCAGAAGTTGCCCATCAGTTAAGAAAAGCTGGCTTGACGATAAATATTGAAAAGAGCAGGTTTTGCATCAAGGAGGTAAGATATCTAGGGTATATTGTGGGTAACGGAATCTTGCGAACACACCCAGATAAGATTTCCGCCGTGACGAACTACCCAGTACCAACCAATGTGAAGCAACTCAGGCGCTTCCTTGGAATGGCCGGTTGGTACCGCCGGTTTGTTGATAATTTTGCAATTATTACAACCCCTTTGACAAACTTGTTGAAGAAATGAAAAATTTGCTTGGAACGAAGAAGCCCAGAAATCGTTTGACACCTTAAAACAAATGTTATGTTCAGCTCCCGTTTTAGCTAGTCCGAACTATGAAAAGCCATTTATACAATGTGACGCCTCCAAACTTGGAGTTGGTGCGGTTTTATCACAGAAAAATGAAGATGGAATCGAAGTCCCAATTGCCTATTTTTCGCATAAACTTAATAAGGCTCAAGGTAACTACAGTGTGACTGAGCTGGAGTGCCTTGCAGCTAGCCTCAGCTTAAAGAAATTCAGAGCTTATGTTGAGGGGCAAGATTTGACCATTGTCACCGATCACGTTAGTCTGCAGTGGCTGATGCGTCAGACAGACCTATCCAGCAGACTAGCGCGATGGTCTTTAAAACTGCAGTGATTTAGGTTCAACATAGAGCACCGAAGAGGTTCACAGAATGTAGTACCGGATAGCTTATCGCGTCAAAACTTTGAAGAAATTAATGAGTTAGCAGTCCGTCCGTTAGTTGATATAGAATCGTCCGAATGAATAAAAATCCGTGAGAATAAAAATCGCCTACCTGACCTGCACCTGACGATCGTATATATAAAAGAACAGAGCATCCCGACGGTAACCCAGCGCGAGAGATTTACAACTGGAAGCTATGGATTCCAAAAACCTTGATTCGACAGGTCATAGAGAACGCCCACTGTCAGCCAAGCAAATGCCATGGCGGAATCGCAAAGACTTTAGAGCGCTTACGTATGAACTTTTACTTTTACTTTTTTTTATGACGGTTGACGTCAAAGAATATGTTGGGCAATGCGAAACTTGTCACCGAAGCAAAGCGCCAAATGCAACACTACGTCCGCCTATGTCCGCACAATATACAGTTCAGCGTCCCTTTCAGAAACTATACGTCGATTTCCTAGGTCCCTACCCGCGGTCAAAGAAAGGAAACATAGGCATTTTCATTGTTCTCGATCATTTTACTAAGTTTCCTCTATTTAAAGCAATTAAAAATTTTAATACTCCAGGCATTTGTGATTTCCTGCGAGAACATGTTTTTAGTGTTTTCGGAACACCCGAAATCATCTTGAGTGATAACGGGAAACAATTTAAATCCTCCCAATTCAACAGTTTCCTCGCTGAACGTGGGATTAAGCATGTTTATACCGCCTTGTACAGCCCGCAAGGGAATGCGAGCGAGCGACTTAACTGATCAATTATTGCGGGTATAAGGGCCTATTTAAAAGAAGACCAAACTTTGTGGGACAAACACTTGCCAAGTATCGCAGAGGCTCTACGAAGTTCTCACCATCAGTCTATAGGATGCACGCCATACTATGCCCTTTTCGGCCAGCAGATGCCGTCTCACGCTGACGAATATGGGTTACTACGAAGGCTCGGAGCCCTCGACGACCATATTCTAGTCCGAACCGATAAGCTAGAATTGATACGATCGTCGATAGCCGAAAACATTAAAAAAGCGTTCGAGGTGTCGGCAAGACGTTATAATTTGCGAAGTTCTGCGGAAACTTTTAAGATAGGAGTCTATGTATATAGAAGAAATTTTGTTTTGAGTGATGCCTCTAAGAAAGTCTGCGCAAAGTTTGCCCCAAAATTCGTTAAGGCTAAAGTGGTTGCACTAAAGGGCAATTGCTTATATGAGTTACAAGATGACAGCACAGGAAAGCATGGGATTTATCACCGTAAGGATATCCAAAAGAACAAAAGCAAAATACACACCGCACCAACACTTTAGGTGGGGGGTTGTGTACCGTGAGTACAAAACAGACTAGTGTTGTTTGCGTTAAAAGATTGTTCTTTAGGCATTCGATTTCGCTCCGCAACTTCCGCTTTACTTTTCGCATTTTCTTAAAGTCCACCACCCTGTAGTATTAAACACAGCTACACTCAAAACCTCCTTCCGGGCATCTCCACAATCACCTGATCTAAGTTAGCAAAGATATCGATAAATATTTTTGATTATCCGGCTTAGGATCAATTTCCGCATACAATATTCATTCTTTCCCTTTGTGACCACGGAGCCGACCACATTAAGTCGATTAGAAATATATTTTAAGTGAGTGCTAACTAAAGTGTTTACTGAGTGCAAGTGCACAATAAATCTTTTTTTTTCGTACTCATCATCAGTCATTTTGGCATGAATTGGTAAGATTTTCCTTAATTATCTTTATCAAGTCGCGATATATACATATATACATATCAAGAAATACACAATTTTCCAAGCAACTAAAAATCACCATTTTTCAGAAATTAATAAATCACCACATTCCGCGTACATTAACTTGGCGAGCTACATCTTTGTGTGGAATTACTACATTTAGCCGTGAATGTGAATCACCATACTAAAAGTGTAGTACCTAAGGCAAAGACCCGCTTCCACCTGGCCGCCAGTGTATAACCACTCCTACCATAACCCAATCATCGTCAACAGTCGACAGGAAACCTGCATTCCAATGGGATATACCGCACAATTTTGTATAGGGACAACTAGATATAGGCCCGCCAATTGACCTGAAGGAATTGTGTTCTTTATAAGACATGTTTTTTTCTTCATCGCCAAATCCAGGTCATTTAAATTCATCCTAAGCAAAGTTATTATATGTGAAGTACATAATAACTGAAAACCCTAGCTTCCAACAGCTTCTTTGCTTTCGAAGTTCAGCCTGCGGTACAAAATTAAAAAGATAAGGAACAAAAGAAGACAGTGATTGCACTTCAAAGAATCACAAAAGAATTAATAGTACATATATGACAGTATACAATACTTACCATTCTAATTTCACTTACCCTTAGTTATTCCTTTTTTATCTAAATAGAATTAAATCCAAAATTTTAATTTGAAGTTATATTCATAACAAGTAATTGCCTTATAATCTGTTTTCCTTCGTTTTTTTACTTACCTTTCACATTTACATTTGTTTGTCACACAAAGGGTGTACATACTTATGTACTATAATAGGTGCGTTCGTTTAAGATCTCCAACAGAAACCAACCAACTGCCAAATTCCGGCGAAATGTCATCTGTTCGCTCACAGGAGAGAAATATCCAAAATAGTACGCGAACAGAAAATTTGCAGAAACTTGCAAGTTAGACGAACAGCTGATATAATTTTTGTTTACATTCAAAAGTGTAAAATTTAAAACGTACGAAAACTCATTACAAAGTGGCATCCTGGCACAGTTTATTGATTAAACAAATAACTACTTACTTCTTACAAGTTTAATTAGTCGCATTTTGTAATTTTTAACTTCCAAACCATCAAATTCAATTTTGTGATTTGCGTAAATGCCAACCAGCTGTTTTTGATCAGCTGTTTTCCTGTTGGCAAATTGCTGTTGGCAAAAATTTTTCCAGCAGAATCCAGCAGCTTCCCCTCAAAATGAAATGTCACTTTGCTCTCTCAATTTCCCCTACTTTGCAAGTTTTTTGCGTACGCGAACGCAAAAACTTGTAAGTTTTGGTTAACCATGAACAATTAACAGCTACGCGAACGAACCTAATATAATGTTAAATAAGCAGGTTTTTTTTTATTCTTAAGTACCATGTGCTGAGTCCACATGGTAACCTAACCTGTCTCAACATAAATTCCTACTTTTTCGTATGTTTACCTTTTCATATTTTCCCTCTCAAACACTAAGTGCTCACCGATTAATTGCGATCTGCTAATTTTGTATTTTTTTTTGTTATCCAAATGAGCGCGCTTTAATACTCTTTTTTTTGTTGTTACACCGCGCTCTGTAATTTTATAGTGGATTACCAAAATATAGTGCGAACTAAGTTCCATTAATATTTTGCGTAGTAAAGAGAATATTGTTATTATTTCTTTTTCAATTTACTGATTAAATCCTATGTATAATTAACCAAAACCAACTACCACCCCACAATTATTCACAGCAGCCACATACAAGCAGGGAGGCCTTCTTCGCTTCGTGGGACGGCGTGACCATCAAAGTGAGTGCATTTTATTGATACGTATTTTTCTATGCGCTACTGTTTTTGTTTTGCATGCATATATACAAATATATATATACATATACATATGTACAAAGAGTAGAATCAGAATTTTAATTTTCTCACTTTCGTTGTGAAGCTCATCTGGAATTTTGTTACTTCATATTTGCCTATTAAATTTGGTTCTATATACATACATGTGTACATATGTTCCTACGAAGGTAACTATATACATATGAATGTATGTTAACTATAGCAACTCCCAAGGGATCAGTTTTTTTTGTTACTTGTGTACTCGCCCATTAATAAAGGTACATTTATACGTATATATATATATATATATATATATATATATATATATATATATATATATATATATATATATATANCATTTGCTATTCTCGGTTCTCATGTACATACATTGTAGATAAACCTACATACGCACATATTTACGTTTGCACAGAGAATTTGTGTGTGACATATAAATGTAGGATACCGAGTGGGTTTTCTGCTATAACTTTACTTTTATTTGACATTCACAAATACACAGATTCCTTACATGTCTATGCTACGTAGAACGGTTGGCAGGCAGGCAGGCACTCACGCGGCGACGGTCGACAACGTAACGATTTTATGTTCTTTGGCTACAGTTAGGTCAGCCATCATTGGCGTGCGTTCGTTAAATTCGGTCAGTAGGGTTGCCTATATTTAAGGACTAACGTCAGTGTTGCCGTCTACTCGGACCCAATCCCACATTCGGCCCTCCTGACCGATCATTCGGCTCGAATGATGACACGCTTGGTGGCTCGACGGCGTATTCTCTGAAGGAATTCGAAGTAAAAGCCGCGCCGCGATCCGAGATGATGCGTTTTGGATTCCCAAACGTCGCCGCCTGCCACTTCAACTGGTTTATGCCGTGGTTTTTGATGCGTAGAGCCACACAAACTTTGAGAAGGCGTCCACTACAACGAAGATGTCACTATATCGCTTCGACGTCATTTCCATTGGCCCCAGATGGTCGATGTGGTAGGTCCCTAGTGGCCTATCTTCTTTGCTTATTGGCGCCAGATAACCCTCCATCCTCCCTGACTTGCTCTCCGCAACGTCGAGTGCAGCTCTTCACTATTTTCGCCGCTTTCGTAGACAACTGTGGGATGTAGAAAGTCTTCTCGACTGCTTTTTGCGTCCTTTTCGTTGAGAAATGACCCTGGTTATGAGCGACTTTGATAATTTCTTCCTCCATCGACTCAGGCACGACAATCAGTTCCTTAATGGGATCTTTATGCAGGTTCTGTTTCGATAGTTGCTACCGCGTTGTTGCTGGTTTCTTCTGATGTCTTCATTTTCGGCTTAAATTCCACTAGATCCTCGTGAACGATTAATGTTACCTGTTTCAGGATGTCGTTACCGATCACTGCTGCATACTTCATGTCGCGTTCCCTGGTCACATGAAACGTGATTTCCAACTCCATATCGTCGATGATAAACGCTCTAGTGAAACTACCTAATGTTGTTAGCCCGCCTTTCCCTACTCCTACCAGACGACGTCGATCGCCGACCAATTCAATATCACTATCAAGCATGAGCAAGGTGTCATACCGCAGTAAGCACAGGTCACATCGACTAGAGCGGAGAATGTTATATGGTTCCGCTTAACGTCTACGAAGATGCATCTGCCCGATTCTCCTATCCTGCCGCGTATATCGTCTCCTAGAGTATTGGCATTGTGGCTCTCCTTTTGATAGCGGCTGGAGCGCTTCTACAGTCAGCAGCTCGGTGCCCTGGTTGCCCGCACCTGAAACATTTAAACGATCCGCGACAGTCCTTGGCCAGATGAGAAGTGCTTCCACACTTAAAGCACCTTCTTGCCTCCTTAACGCGTGCATTGGGGTTGACAGAAATTCTGCTTCTGACGGTCAGCTGATTTGGATTCGAGGTAGTCGCTTGCTGGCGGTTAGACCGCACCTTTTCATATATGCTTCTTGAGTTCCGCTACGGTTTTGGCTTGATACAAGTTAATCTTATTTTGTTTCGAGTCGGGGATGCCATCGATAAAGTACTCAATGAGACTCATATCGTCCAGCTTCACTGGTTTCCCGATCTCCATCAAGGAGTAGAGGTATTTTTTAAGGTCCTCGTTGTTGTGCTTACAGCGGTTCCGTAACATGCGATGCACCTCTAACGACGATACCTTAGCTCCAAATTCCGATATCAGTGCTTGCCTCAAGGAGTCCCAGTCGGTGACATGGCGCTGACTGCGTATAAAAATTTTGGCGGCCCCTTTCAGCAGCTGTTTAGCATATATAAATTTTTGGAGCCCGTTCCAATTAACTGCGGTACCGTTTTGCTGGAAATCTTCCAGCCATTCCTCAACCTGCGGCTGACCCGACCCACTGAAAGACGTCAACGAGTCTTCTATATCGCGCAATGTGAAGCAGGTACGCTCATGAAAGCTATTTGGCATTGCCCTTGATGGGGACGAACCAGCGTTATCATAAACGGAAGCTGCATCGACATCACCACTAGTGTCATCATCTTCGCTATCGGCATTCAGGCCGAAGTGCTCAAGTAGTCGGTCCTGTAGCGTGACCTTACGTCCCGTAGTAGCCAACCCTAACTCCAACAACCTTTGCTTTAGCCCTACTACATTCAATGCTAGAATTTCGCTTCGCTCCATTGTCGACCCTTACCACTTACAAAGTGCTTCAGAACAGGTGCAAAATAAAATATTTTACAAAACTAGTTAGGTTTTCCGATAAAATATTCTGTGCCGCCGATATGCCTGTACCGTATGATAATTCTAAGTATTGGGTTTACAAATTTTATATATATATTTATTGTTATTAAATTCTTTTTTTTTTTTCTCAAAATGCACACTAAACAGATTAGGAATATACTGCACCGTCGACAGTCTAAAAGTTTACATATGCTCTTTGTTTAAAATTTTCGCAATTTTGCGTTGTGCTTGTAATCCCAAAATATGAAAAAGAATTGTTTTACACTAACATACAAAGTACAGTTGATTAATTGATTTAGTGATCAATACAATGAATACACATGAAATTATAAAAGCGTCTACAAACTAAACAATTTCAAATTAATTTTACTTAGCTTCGCTCCACTGTGCTGCTAGCCTGTACGAAATGCGTTGATTTGTTCGACCTCTGTTCATCTTCCAACCTCCAACTGCAACCTCCACTTCAGCCGTTCGAGAAAACACCAACTTCCTGCTTTTCTAGCCACTACTTGGCTACAACATCGACCGCAACACCCAATGCAGGTTCGATGCAACAACTTTCGACTGCTCCTGTTGCAGCTCTGGATACAACTTCGACTATTTCGTACTCTTCAATGCAACTACTTCTGCATAGTACTTCACTTCAGTCGAACTCTTCTGGTTTCATGCAACTTCGAATATTTCGCCGCTTTGATTGCGCAGCTGCAGCGCTGTTCAGCTCTGTTGTCGCCTCTGCCAACGAAGTATCGGCTTGCGTTAATGCGCCTGTGCTTGCTTATATACTTATGTATATATATGCGGGACTTAGCTACCGTTACCGCTGCCTTGCCTCTGCCACGGATACCGTTATTGCAAATTTTCTGCGAAGTAGATTTATTTTCCGCAAAATTATGCTATTTTGTGACTTTCAAAAACTATTTGCACAATTTTGCCACTTTTAACCTCCGCAAAGTTTATTCCTTCGCTAGTCTTTATTTGCGAACTTTTCCACTATGTACGTATGTACATGTGTATGTATTACACTTTTTGAACAATTTAAAAGTTTTTGCACGTGCGCTTGCTGGCGCTGTTCAGTCCCTCTTCTTACACCACTTTTGTAGGATACCGAGTGGGTTTTCTGCTATAACTTTACTTTTATTTGACTTTCACAAATACACAGATTCCTTACATGTGTATGCTACGTAGAACGGTTGGCAGGCAGGCAGGCACTCACGCGGCGACGGTCGACAACGTAACGATTTTATGTTCTTTGGCTACAGTTAGGTCAGCCATCATTGGCGTGCGTTCGTTAAATTCGGTCAGTAGGGTTGCCTATATTTAAGGACTACCGTCAGTGTTGCCGTCTACTCGGACCCAATCCCACATAAATATCTCCGGGTCAATGACCACATAAATACATGTACCTATGTACATACAGTGACGGGCAAAACTGTAACATGGTGTAACACTTTTTACTTCAGCCATCGCTATCTTTCCAAGTTCTAACGACTTTCATACTTTTGTTGTATATTCTTGTTGGTACATCCCTACTCCCTCTCTCATAATGATTTGAAGTCAATGCAACAACAATAAAAAAACCAGCAGACAAAAATGTAAATTAAGGCAGATGTTACAGTTTTGCACTCATATATTTTTAAGAACTTTTTAACAATTTTCACGAAAAAAAAAACACAATGTTCAATACTATTTTACTTGTTTCAGTTCCTGGATGCGATTTGGCTTACCTTATTTTTATCTTTGTAAAAATTCTGGAGGTATATCCTTAGTTTGCTTTCACAGCTCATGTACTCGATTTTACGGACTTTGATACTTATTAAGCTGTGCTTTTAGTTGATTTCGCAAATTCTCGATGAGATTCATGTCCGCGGATTGTGGAGGTCATTTCAAATTAGCAAATTTTTGCTTTTGTATCCAGGCTTTGCGAACATATGCAGTGTGTTTTGAGTGATTTTTCAGCAGAAACTCTAATTTTTTCGACTACATCTTGCAAATTTTGTTGAAATATGAACAGATACTGTTCCTTACGCATTATGCGTACTAACGGACCAACAAAATTTTTTAAATACAACCCCAAACAATTAAGATCCTACCACTGTGATTCACAGTTTGCCTTACATGATGCGCATGGGTTAATTTGGGTTTTTGATCCAATACCATGCCCGGCGATCTGATTGAAAGCGATTAATTTAGTCTTGTCAGACCAAATAACCTTCAATTGAAACTTAAAAATATGTTTTTTATTGCACTCTGAACGGCCTAACAT